CTATTCTATTCTATTCTATTCCTATTTCATTCTATTCTATTCTATTCCTATTTCATTCTATTCTATTCTATTCCAGTTCTCTATTCTATTCCTTTTCCTTTTCATATTCCTTTTTCTATTCTATTCCTATTTCATTCTATTGTATTATATTGTATTCTATTCATACTACAGGTAGTCCTTGTCTTATGACCACAATTGAGCCCAAAATTTATGTTATGTGAGAAGTTTGGTGAGTGAGTTTTGCCCCCATCTTACAACCTTTCTTGCCGCATTTGTTAATTGAATCAGTGTAGTTGTTGAATTAGTAACACAGTTGTTAAGTTAATCTGGTTTTTCCGTTGACTTCGCTTGTTGGAAGGGTTGCAAAAGGGGATCATGTGACTCCGTGAAACTGCAACTGTCGTAAATGTGAGTCAGTTGCCAAGCATCCAAATGTAAATCACGTGACCTGGGGATGCTGCAACGGTCGTTAAGTGTGAAAAATGGTCATGTCACTTTTTCTGTGGTAACTTTGAATGGTCACTAAACAAACCGTAGTAAGTCAAGGCCTAACTGTACTTGCAATGGTTGCAATGATTTGGAGGTTTTCTTTTATGCTACCAGTCCATGGGAAGTGTGGCCTTTTACCAGAACTGAATCAAAGAAGTTTGATGAAGGAAAAAGCCTTCTTTTTTAAAAAATGAAATTCTTATTTTGTTGAAAGATAAATCTATTATTTATAGATTTGGGGATTAGAAAAGGTCAAAGGTTGAAGGGGAAAGAATAACATGGCAATTACTTGAGAGAAAGAAAGGCAAAAGTCATAATTATATTTTATTTTTATCTTTCTCTTCCTTTCTTTTTCCTCTTAATCTTTTTAAAATTTTGTACAGAAAAAGATCCAATTTAAAAAAAAACCCTTCTGTTCTGATGTCTTGCTTGCTGTATTTTTTTTTTTATAAAATAGACAACGTTGCCACAGGCAGTTACATACCATCAACATTCCAGCGGCAGTTTGCGGTACTGTATGTATTTGTTTATTAGTTTAGTTTAACTTTGTTTTGCACAGCTTCCTTCGGTGGCTGAAGGCTCTGACATCATTGGATTGCAACCAAATATCCCCAAATAACATCCCAGGGGCTGTGTGTGCTTCAGGGCGCAGCATTTGCAAGCAATCCATAAAGTGTATTTTACAGATAGCTGTCGACTCATGACTACAATTGTTAGCCCAACATTTCTGCTGTTAAGTGAAACATTTGTTGAGTGAGTTCTGCCCCATTTTACGACATTTCTTGACACCGTGCTTAAGTGAATCACTGAAATAGTTAGGTAGTAACCCAACTGTTAAGTGAACCTGGCTTCGTGATCACGTGACTCCGGGACACTGCAACCTGCCCTAAATACGAATCGGTTCCCAAGCATTTTGAATTTTGATCATGGGACCGTTGGGATGCTACAAGTGTGAGAAAAGGTCATCGGTCACTTTTTTCACACCTGTTGTAACTTTGAATGGACACTAAATGAATAGTTGTAATTAGAGGACGACCTGTACTTGGGAAAATTCTCCCTCCCTCCCTTTCTTCTGTCTTTCCTCCCTCCCTTCTTTCCTCTTTCCCTTCCTCCCTCCCTCCTTTCCTTTCCCTTACTCTCTCCTTTCCTCTTTTCTTGCTTCCCTCCCTCCTTTCCTTTTTCCCTCCCTCCCTGCCTCTTTCCCTCCTCCCTCCTTTCCTCCCTCCCTCCATCTCTTTCCATCCTTCCCTCCCTCCTTTCCTCCCTCCCTCCTTTCTCCCTCCCTCCTTTCCTTTCCCTTACTCCCCCCTGTCCTCTTTCCTTCCTTCCCTCCCTCCTTTCCTTCTTCCCTCTCCCTTCTTTCCTCACTCCCACCCTTCCTTCTTCCCTCCCTCCCTGCCTCTTTCCCTCCTCCCTCCCTTCTTTCTTTCCTCCCTTCTTCTTGAATAAATACTTTGTTTTAACCCGAGACTGGAAACAAAACTGCCTACCGGGCGGCCAAGGGGCGAGGTCAGTGGCATCCCCGGGTCACGCGTGGCCGCCTGCAGCTCCTCCACTCCGCCCCCTGACTCCCGTGTCCGGCACGCATACCGCCCCTCAGGGTCTTGGCCAGGGCAGCCGCCTCCCTCCCGGCCTCCCTCCCTCCGAAAGGGAAGCTGCGGGAGGGCGCGCAACACAGCGAAGCAAATTGGCCTCTCTCCCCCCCCCCCCCCCCCCGGGCCGGGGCCCCCGGCCCGCCCCCCTCCCCCCCCCTCCAACCCCGTATCACGCAGGCGCGCCTCGCCTCGCCTCGCCTTTCTCGGCCCCGCCCCCGCCCCTGCCGGCAGCTCTTCGCTTTCGTTTCCCGCTGGCCCGGCGCGAGCGGCTCGACGGAGGCGGCCGAGCGAGCGAGGATGGCGGACCCGGCGGTGTGCAGCTACCTGACCAAGGTGCTGTGTTCGCGGGGAGGCTGCGTGCGCCTCTCCGAGCTGCCCGACGAGATGGGGCTGTCCCTGAGCCAGCTGCGGCAGGTCTTGGAGGACGCCGGGCAGGCGCGCTTTCTGTCGGCCCGGAGAGGGAGCGACCTCTGCGTGCTGGCCGTCTCGCCCGTCCGCCTCTGCGTCCGCCAGGTCTGCATGGGCTGCGAGCGGCTGCACCTCTGCAAGCTGAACCTCCGCGGGAGATGCCGAGTCAAGTGAGTCGGGGCGGCGGAGCATCCGCTCTTCGCCCGAAAAGCAGCGGGCGCCTTTTGGAATGGGACGCTAGTCCTCAGGACGCCGGGCTAACTTGTGGCAAGTCGAGCCGGGGATGGGGCGGGGGGAAGGTTTGGGCAGGAAAAAGTGGGGGAGGGCGAGAGGCACAGTCGGGAAGGTCGCCGTGGGATTAAGTGTCTTGGATCAAGCGGGGCTCCGAGATATGGGAAGTGGGGGGAAATATAAAGGGCGTAAAGGGGTGAACAACCTCGCTTAAGAAGAAAAAATGAAAACTTGTGTCCCTCTCTTTAACTGCAGCCGGAGAGTCTTATTTCTAAGCAAAAAAAAAACACTTTAAAAAATCGTCTTATAAGTAATCAGAAAGTTGGGTCGACTTGCCAAGTCTTAATTCTGAAATCGTTTTTTGTTGTTGTTATGGCTTTATTTAATTCACAGTTTCCACTTAATTTCATTCCCACATGAGTCTCATCAGGAGGCCGGCTGCTTTTCAAGGACCTGTTGAACTTCTTTGAGAAAGGAGCCTCCTAAAATAAAACCCCATAAAATGGGCATTAATTCCTCAATTGATCCTACTGGTTGGTTTCCACCTGTACCGACTTTAAAAAAAAAAAACATTTTCCAAATACAGACCCAAATCCCAACATGGAACTGTCTGTGCTCTGAACAAATGTTCAGAACAAATGGGGGGCAGAAATGGCTTTCTGAGAATGTGCAGTGAATTAAAATGGTGCTGAGTACACAGAAACGAATTTTCCCCCGGCCTGTGCTTGACCTTGTTTTCAAAGGAACAAGAATTTGTGTTAAGATCCAAGGTCAGCAGATCTAAAAATTTGGGGTAAAAGTAGTTTTTTTTCTTTTTAATTTTAAATGTAGTTTGTGTGTGTGTGTGTGTCTATTTCTATCTACCTATCAATCTATACCTACCTATCTCTACTATCTATCTATCTATCTATCTATCTATCTGCCCATCTCATATGCATGACTGGGCAGTTAACAATTAAAATAAGGAACCGAGTGAAAATTAATTAGCCGAATGCCGCTTATAAAAATGGCTGTCTTAAATCTTCAAATGGAGAATTGGATGGTCTGATTATTCAACAGATCAAAATGTTGTGAAACGGTTCAGGGAAGTGGCTTACGATTTAATTTGAAGATCTCCCAAGTCAGTTTCCTGGTGGAGATCTAGTTGCTTCAATGATGAATGAAGTCCTGTAGAAAACTATTGTTCTAAAAATAGATCCATTATAATTCAAGCTTTCAATATAGCAAACATTTCTTTCGTGGAAAGAGTAATGCAGCTTTTTCTGTGCGGTTTAGAGTTATATTCTAGAAGAACCATGGCAACTTTAAGATGGATGGACTTCAACTCCCAGTCTTCCCCCTCTTTTATTTCTACTAATAATTGAAAGTGGTTAGCATATCCAATATACCTTCCTCCTCCTATTTTTCCCACAACAGCCCTGTGAGGTGAGTTGGGCTGAGAGAGAGTGACTGACCCAAAGTCAACCATTCGACTTTCATGGCTAAAGCAGGATTACAATTCATAGTCTCCTGCTTTTTATCCTGGTGCCTTAACCACTAGACCAGGGGTCTCCAACCGTGGCAACTTTAAGACTTGTGGACTTCAACTCCCAGAGTTCATCAGCCAGTTTTGCTGGCTGGAGGGACTCTGGGAGTTGAAGTCCACAAGTCTTAAAGTTGCCAAGGTTGGAGACCCCTGCACTAGACCAAATTGACTCTTCAGAGCAAAGGTCTTCAAACGTGGCAAGTGTAAGACTTGTGGACTTCAACTCCCAGAATTCCTGTGCTAACATGACTGGAGGAGGAATTCTGGGAGTTGAAGTCCACAACTCTTAAAGCTGTCAAGTTTGAAGACCCCCTGCCTTAGAGACCAGTTTGTGTTAATCTGACTTACATCAGTTGTGAATTTCTCAGTCCTCCTATGGCCTGATTTTTATTCATTGCCCAATAGATTTGTATTCTGGGATTTTTCACTAAGAGTAGAAAAATATGTTTTCTGAATTCAGTATGGTTACCCTCTCCATGTTACAACATTTTCTTATCAGAGGAATGTTTTTAAAAACATGGACAAACAGTACAAGATCAAGATACTGAAGTGGTCTCCGGGGACTAGTCAAAAACCAAACAAATTCTACTGATTTTTATTTGGGGAGTTTCAAAATAGAAAGTGAAAATAAAATGTAAATTCAAGGAAGCTTCCCACCAGGAGTGTATAGTTGGTTTGAGGATTGTTTGGTCTCTTGAGGTTTTCATGATTTCTGTCTGCAAAGGGGGAGCAAGATTTTTGTGGAAAAACTTGAGTCTAAACAAAAACGCTGAGAGGAGGAGGGTACAATAAGAATCCAGGAAGGAGACCAGAAAGAAGGAAATCGTCTTTGCTGCTGTTGGGCAGCATCCGATAGGAAAAAATGGGGTCAAAAGCCAACAGAGAAAAAGAGGCAGGCAGGCCCAAACAAGTCCCAAATAATATAATATAAATAGTCTTTGACAAGAGAAAGTTGGGTTTATTGATGTTGCTATTGAGGAATAACAATTAGAAAAAAATAACAAAATGCCAGGAATTAAAGATCGAAGTCCCACACCTCTGGGAAAAAGAAATATGTTGTTATACCAATAATAATTGGAGACTTCAGAAGAATAACTAAAAAATTCCCTGGATATTTGGAATTTTTTAATTTATAGGACATGAACATTCTTAATTTTAACCCCCCTCCAAAAAAAAACCCCAAAACAAAATACCCCACCCTGTTAGGATCTGCCTATATCCTTAATTGTCACTTTAATAATTCTTGGTCATATGTAATGTTGTTATGTTTTTTTTAAATTGTAAATTCAATAAAATTTATTTAAAAAAATAATAATTCTTGGTTAGGACTTGAATTATCAGGATCCTGCCAGTTTTGCATTGTAAATTAAATAGGAGTTTCCTCATAATAATTCATTAAACTTTTATGCTACCTGACTCTCAGAGTAAATCTCTAGATTCTTTCTGCTTTGGTAAGGGCTCCATTTGTATTTTAAGCTCAATTTTTGCCCCTTGCCCTAAAAAGTATATCATTTCCCCACCCCACCCCACCCCACCCCCAGAAAACTGGGCAGGGTTTCTACAAAAGCCACAGACTTTTGGATACTTTTAGATTTTAAATTTGTCTAAGGAAGAGTAAGATTTCACATATTCGGTGGACTAGGAGGAATTTTGGAGTTTTCTACCACAGTGTAGGAAACTTCTCCTGCAGCACCCTTACAGAATATAAAGGCTAAGAGGGTTCTCTGAGACCATCTAGTTCACCCTTCTTTCTAGAGTCTACTCCCTCTTCAGCCCTTTGAGGCTCTTCTCTAAAACCCTGGCTTCTATTTCCCTGACACAGCCTATGCATGATCTTGGGGAGGGAGGGAAGGGTGGGGGTGCCAAGTGGCTGGCCTTGGAGATTGTAAATACAGAGCTAGCAGTAAGAGATACAGAGGCCGGAGGGGAATTGGCAAGATAGATTTCGCCAGAGATCACTGCTGCATAATTTCAAGCCCTGAAAACCAGGGTTATTTATGAGGTGGGCTGAATTCTGAAGACTCCCATTCTTGAATGCAGGACAGGGTCTTCATAGAGGGAGGAAATTGCAAAAGGTTGAAGATAGAATTGAAGCAAGTGCAGTTGGGTGTAATAAAGGATAGTTGATTTAGGTCAGTGTTTTTCAAGCTAGGCCGCTTTAAGATGGGTGAACTTCAACTCCCAGAATTCCCTAACCAACAGGCTGGCTGGGGAATTCTGGGAGTTGAAGTCCACCCATCTTAAAGCAGCCAGGCTTGAAAAACCCTGACATAAAGGCTGGCTGATTTCTTGGAGAGAAACGCACATCCTTTGGCCAGTTTGAGGATTGAGGGAACAGGCAGAAAAAGCAGTGGATAAGGCAGAAGGGCCAGGATCAAACGAATGGCTGACAAGTCTTGGAAAAACTAATAATTGTGGGTACAAGTTGGGTGGGTGAGCAACTAACTTACAAACTTTAGAGTTAAAGTCAGGCTTAACTTTGCTGCACAAACTGATGATGATGTTTTAGCTCCACAAATGGGCTACCACAATTTCCCCTTGCGACTAAAGGATCACCCTAGTCTTTGTAATCAGTTCAAAATGAAAAGGATGTTCTGTGCAAGTGGATCTAATGGGCTGAGCTCCGGTGAGCCAAGCCACCCCCCCCCCCCCCCAAATCCAAAACCTTTTATTATTTGCTCACATCACAAGACTGTATTGGTCACTGATCTCTCTTGCATGCCAGCTACAAACCCGGTCTTTAGCTTGTAAGCTGCAGGAGGAAAGGTGCAGGTAACTTGATTTGGCTTGGCACCAGATAAACACAGGCTGATTGGGCCAATTGTGACTGATCCCTCCCTTTGCTAGCCTCTTCCCAGAGATAATAGTTTGAGGGACTCATGGGCTACAGCAGCCCACTACCAAGCCTTGGGGCTGGCAGACCCCTAGTTAAAGCAGGATGCAGAGACGGAAAGGTTTCCGCTTCTTCTGTTGTGGTCCACCAGCAGCAGAGTTGTACAGAGGGGAGGAACATGGGCCGGTCCGGGAGTCTGTGGGGGACTCGGATGAGATTCCTGCGTCTGATTCATAGATGGGGCCAGGGCCATCTGGGAGTTACGTGCTGAGTCCAGAGCCTCCAGAATCTGACAGCAGCAAGGCAGAGGAACAAAGGGAGCCTGTTCCCAGTGCACATGTGTGCACAGAGCTGACAGAAGGCAAGAACGGTTAAGACAAAAGGGGCGACTCGGGAGTAAGGCTTGAAGGTGATTGGCCCTCCCATAAGACATAAAGGAGGAGCAAAGGGACAGGAATCTTTGCAGGAAGCAACTTTGTTTATACTGGTCAGTTTGAAACTTGAAGCCCGGTGTTGAAGTTGTGTTCCATTTTGGCCTCATATAACTAGCAATAACTGGCAATTTAGTCACTGGTACCATTTCAAGGAAGATAAAGATGCATTCTTATCAGACTTATCCTGAAGGACTTTGGCAGACTTCCATGGGACTATTTAGAAACTGTCTGAGACTCATTACGGGCTGTGAATGATTAAAATTCACAACCGTTGAAATAAAGAAAAAAGGGGTTTGGGGACTAACATGTGTTTGTTAGTGTCTCCATAAGCCTTGGTCACAACATTTCCATCTACCTGTGCCTTGCCTAAGTGTGCAAAAGCGTGAGCACAGAGCAGGTGCAAGTATCACTGAAACATACATTGAAGGGACTTACCAGGGTTGGAACTAGTGTTAACCAGGAGAGAAAGAAAGCAACAGGGTTAGTGGAGAATTGCAAAATTTCACATTGAACCGTAAACTGCTTCACTGAGCTTTGGTTTAAGAGGGTGGAAATACATCTTCTCATCAGGATTTCTGTGTTATGGATTGCGGCTTACGGTGTTGTCTCTGAATGCAGCCAACACTGGCAATATCAAACCTCAGTTGACCCTGAGCCCTAAAGATATGGCATTCAGAACTGGAAGGAGGTGAAATTTATGGACGTGTTTTTTTTCCAGTTTGCTCTTGTTCTTTAGTGCTAAAAATGTAACTTCTTTGTTTAAATAGTACAGGTAGTCCTTAACTTGCAACAACAATTCATTTAGTGACCAACGGCACTGAAAAAAGTGACTTATGACCGATTTTCACACTTATAGCAATATCAATAGTATTTAGACTTATATACCACTTCACAGTGCTTTACAGCTCTCTCTAAGCAGTTTACAGAGTCAACATATTGCCCCCAACTATCTGGGTCCTCATTTTACCCACCTCAGAAGGATGGAAAGCTGAGTCAATCCTGAGCCTGGTGAATTCAAACAGCCAAATTGCAGGCAGGCAGCAGGCAGCAGAAATAGCCTGCAGTACTGCATTCTAACCATTGCGCCACCTTGGCACTGTTGCAGCATCTGCGGGGTCATGTGAGCAAAATTCAGATGCTTGGCACCTGATTCATATTTATGGCAGTTCCAGTGTTGTGTGAACATCTTTTGTGACCTCCTGACAAGCAAAGTCAATGGGGAAGCCAGATTCACTTAACAACTGTATGATTCACCTAACAGTGAAGAAAGGTCATAAAATGGGGCAAAATTCACTTGACAACTCTCTCACTTGGCAACAAATTTTGTGCTCAGTTGTGGTCATAAGTTGAGGAGTACCTGTATGTATATGAACATTAAACACTTTTTCTCAGACTAATTAAGCACATAACCTTATTCTATAGCAGGGTTCTCCAACTTTTAAGACTTCTGGACTGGGAGTTGAAGTCCACAAATCTTAAAGTTGCCAAGGTTGGAGACCCCTGTTCTATAGAACTTGCAAAAAATAAGGATGATACTTGCCTGGATATATTTTTAAAAAAACTCCCAGCTCTATCCTCAACTGTGTTTGAATCACCATTTAATGATGCAGTTTTAGCATCAAAAGGTAATTATGATTTGAACTAAGTGATTCAATAAAGAAATTAAGTGAAAAAAGATATAAGGAAGATAAAGTTTTGAAAATGTTTGTTTTCATGCTCGGGGTTTGAGGCCCAGTTTTCTCACACATTGATCTGTTTCTCTGCAATATTTAACTTGCAGAGTTGTTCCTAAATAAATGATTAATCATCACTGTGTTTTAAAGTCCAGAAAGTTTTTTTTCAAAGCCCAGAAAGTTTTGGTGTTGTAGGTTTGTTTATTTTTTAGGTGTGACTGTCACTGCTCCTTAGAGCAAGGGTCTTCAAACTTCGCAAGTTTAAGACTTGTAGACTTCAACTCCCAGAATTCCTGAGCTAACATGACTGGAGGAGGAATTTTGGGAGTTGAAGTCCACAAGTCTTAAAGCTGTCAAGTTTGAAGACCCCCTGTCTTAGAGTAATACTTCCCAATAGAGTAAGACCCCCCCCCCCCCCCCCCCCCCCCCCCC